GGTGATGGAGATGAGGGGGAGTGCGGTGGAGATGAGGGGCACAGCGATGGAGATGAGGGGCGCGGTGATGGAGATGAGGGGGAGCGCGGTGATGGAGATGAGGGGGAGCGCGGTGATGGAGATGAGGGGCGCGGTGATGGAGATGAGAGGCGCGGTGATGGAGATGAGAGGCGCGGTGATGGAGATGAGGGGGAGCGCGGTGATGGAGATGAGGGGGAGTGTGGTGATGGAGATGAGGGGCACGACGATGGAGATGAGGGGCACGGCGATGGAGATGAGGGGGAGCGCGGTGATGGCGGCCAAGGCCGCGGGTGGCGGGAAAGCAGAGCGGAGATAAAAGTGGAATCTGATGAAAGCAGCAGCAGCATGAAGCCTTTTCACGGACGTGAACCTGCTCACGCACTCGGCTTTAATTGGCTCGCTGCCATAAAACATACAGAAAGTCAGGCATGTAGATACAGGCACTGCTTTGTCTGTTGTCCTAGAGACAGCCCTGCGACATCGGCCGCCTGCCGCCACGTCCCTCTGCGTCTCCATTCTCAGGACCCCCAACACAACACAAAACCCCATACATAAGTCACGAGCTATAGCTTCAGAGACTCCTTATCACAGCCGTTGGGTGGGGAAGCGGATATAGCACCAGTCAGGTGCGTTTGAACATTTTAAATTAGAGTTTAAGCACCCTCAGTGCCTCATGCAATTAAGGAAAATTTTTAAATGAATGACAAACGCCACCTGTGGAATAATTAGCAGGCTAAATCCTAAACTCGTCAAAATGTCTACCTTTTACAGTTTCCGCAGCTCAGCAAAATCTTAATATTATATTAATGAAAGATATTATGTTAATGATATTTTAATTATATTGATTAAAGCTGTTTTTTAAATGCCTATGATTGGAAGGTCGCTGGTTCAAATCCCATGGCCTTAAGCGAGGTCCTTAACACCAACTACTTCAGGGACAGTGACTCACGCTGCTCTCTGATCTTCTGCTAAATGAATGTAAAGGCCCAGCACTGCTGGAGAAAAGGATGACCTTTCTATCCATTTCACTCCAATGGGATTTAAGTCAGGTGATCAGGTCACTTTCATCTCTGTATCTTCCTTCTTCTGGGAGCTCTGACAGGGTATTTACAAAGAGTGCATTGCTTTTGTTTAAGGGGACACTCAGAAACGTGACTGGCAGCGTGGGTTGATAAGGGGCTGACGATTCCTATGCTGTATGACACGCGGTCGAGCTGAACAGCCCCCAGCATGTGACCGTGTGGGTGGACATGTGTGCGTGTCCACAATCTACTCATGGTCTGCACCCCCCCGCCCCCACAGTCGATACAGGTGACTGCTACGTACTTCTTGACAGCCTCTCCCGGTGACAGTGACGTCACCACACTGCTCCCTGGCTGCGTGACATAGAAGAGCTGCTGCTCGTTGCGTTCAGGCGTGATGCGACACTCGTGCTCGTGCCCCCACACCACCAGGTCCAGGAAGTCGTCCAGGAACTGTTCGGGGATGTAGCTGGTGGCCCCGTGTTTGCTCCTGAGGGGACAGACAGAGGTGACCTCGGTGAGCAATGGCTGTGACTCCTCACACTGAAACAGCGTCTCCTGTGGATAAAAGCACACGACACTGCTCCGGAAATCTCACGGGTTTGGACTCGGCGTCGGCTGCGGTGTCTCACCGGTTCTGATGGATGACGAACAGGTTGAACCAGCAGTTCTCATCCTCGCGCGGCCGAAGCATGGCCACCTGGTTGTTCACGAACATCCTGTAGAGCCGTTCATCTGGTATGGACCCTGGGGGGATTACGGGGGAATGCTTGAGAGCACAGCAGACACCCAGCATGCACCTACAAATGCTGCCCAAGTTCATCAGACTTCATCTCCCCCTCACAGGCCTATTAGCCACTTAGGCTAATCAAAGCTAATGGTGGCAAATCTGCTGAGATACCAATGCAGCATTAGCCATAAGTGCTGCACTTTCATAAACAGCAAGACGGCATTAGCATAATGGTCAGACTGCAGTTTTACTAGCCATGGACGGAGTCTCTGAGGGCAGGATCCACCGCGCAGAACCAAAAATCGACTGGAAGAGGGTGGAGAGCATCACCCACTCCTCACCAATCTTCTGGGACAAGGCCCAAGCATTGGATGGCTTTTGAGGAAGGGGGCAGACCTGGGAGCTCTGTCCAGCAGGACACAGGTCGCGGCAGAGCCGACCTCATTACCCACCAACTTCCCGGCCGATATCTTAGCAACCCGCCACCACACGGCTTCACCATCGTCTATGCGGACAGAACCGGCACCAGAGAGCCGCACTAACAAATCCCATGATGACGCAGATGGTGAAGAGTCAAGTGTTTACTAGCAGAGAGTCTCAGGGAACTGTGTCTGGAAGAATGAGCCTCGTGCCTAACAGGTTTAGCAAGCGTGGATGTGGGGGTGGGGCGGACTCACCAATGCCGTACAGTGCGATATTAGAGGTGCCCTTCTGCAGCAGCATTGGACTCACTTCCACCTTCTCCACAGACCGGCTGCGGCCGAAATGGTTGACGAGCCCAGCACAACTCAGGATGTCCAGAGCGCAAAGGCCGTCCGCCTGGGGGTAAGAGAACCATAGACTCAGACCCATTCTTTCCTTGACAGGTCTCAACAAAATCTAAGCCCAGCCCCCTCTGTCCCTCAAGCCAATCAGATATAGAATTTCTCACATTCAAACAGTTTCTAAGACCTGACAATGGATCCTTACCCCCGTTGGGTCATCGTGGTTACCGTGCACACTGAAGACGGGGATGGATATGTTCAGGTTCTCATCTTGGTAGTTGACCCAAGGGAACCTAGAGAAAAAGAAATTTGGTAAGTAGGGCAGAGTGAATCTGCGTCACCCGTAACAAAGTAACAGGAAATGATATGGTCAATGGGAATATGACGCAAGGTGCATTTTAAGGAATACAATGGCTTTACAGAGGGTAGAGAAAGAGCTGGGGTGAGAGGCCAGCAAGCGTGAACAAAAACCCACTTGCTGTTGCCGAAATTGACGGCCTGGTCGCTGAGTATCTCGAAGCTGATTGGTCTGTCACCCATGCAGTACTTCCTTAGCAGAGCTATGCAGTTGTGCAAGGTCTTGCGAGAGGGTTTGTTATCATGGAAAAGGTCACCCCCCAGCAGGATAAAATCCACCTGTCACACAGGCGAGAAAAGCAGACCATTACCACGGCATTTTGGCATTTGCCTCTGATATGACCTGCAGCCAAGGCAGTCATTCCAAAAATTATATTTCACTGTCAGGATGCCTAATTTGACTATTTATTATATAATTAGGATACTAATATAGATATTTTAATAATTATGGAAACTGGTTAAACAGTTTAATAAAACTGGTGGGTGTTGAAACACTATGTATTTACAGCAGGGCGGTGATGAGTTAAAGGACAGGTTTGAGAAGCACTTCTCTGGACATATCTAAGTAAAAAACACAGATGCTTGCTTTCTCACTTACTTCATGCTGTTTTGCATGTTTCAGGATTTCGTCAAATGTCACAAAGGTGTCGTTGCCTCTAATGGCGTCCTTCTCCATGTAGCCAAGGTGGATGTCTGTGGCTATGAGGATTTTGAACGTGTCATCATCATCCCTGCACGAAAAGCAGAACGTGAAAATTCAGGAAGCGCGCTTTAATAGGGTATTTCACTGATGTGCGCTTAACTCACATTGTGTTTCCTGATGTCATTATGCAGTTTACGGTCCAGTCGGGGCTTTTCAAATGAAAAGGTATTCTTGGGGGAAAAGAAGATAGATTTTATTAATGACTTAACACAACACTACATTCATTCTACAATTACGTTGTGCGTACACAGGTCCTGATAAAACGAAAAGATGATTACGAAAAGAAAACTGATTAAGACGACATAGCCACTCTGATAAATATAAAGTTACCATGCAAAATGCAAATGAAATATTACATAAATCATTATTAACAGAATTAAAACGTCCTTGGACTTTTGACTAAACAGAATAAGCGAAGATATTCATGCGAATTATAGCTAATGTAATCACTGAGATACTTTCCATTCAAAGCAAAAGTGGATCAATACAATAATGTGCTATTTTCACGCATTCGACAGAATGCATTCACGTAATGATAACTTTCCATGAGCATCCCGTTCCCTTACTTTGCGACAGTCAATTGAATTACTATTTACCTTTTCCACTTCAGCCTTAGTTTTGTACACACGTGAAATCTCCCTCCTACGGAAGTAATCAATTTGTATTTTCCGGGTGAACTTCCGGCATTGCGTTTGTAGTTTTTTTTGTTTTCTCTCAGCCTGCTAGATGGCCAACGCTTTAAAACGACAGGACTACATTTCCTACAAGGAACAGGGAACCGATGAATGGAGCTGCTTGTGGGAGCTGTCGCTGGCGAGTATCTCGTTTATGGTAGAAAAATTTCTGTAGTAATCAATTTCTCTGTCATGACAGCCTTTAGGAAATAATTAAGTCTTTCAAAGTAATCCAAATTTCAGCGGCAGCAGTTCTCCGTGTAACTATCCTAAGTGGTAGATGGATTCGAATTTTGGGCCTTCTTTTCGGCTATGTTTGTAACCGGCAGTATATTTTTAATGTCGTGGATTTAAAAGATAGACATCTGTTTTGACTTGGAATCGCATCACTTTCTCTGTGAAGAATTTGCCAGTTAAAGCTGAAGTATTCGGTTGTTAAAGTTAGTGGTATTGGCGTAGCGTAACTGGGCGTTTAAACAAGAAAAAACCCGTTTCGGTAGACGGCGCCCTTAAAATAACTTTTATGCATAAATCCCCCACATACCTTATTTTGGGCAGTTTTTAAATCCTCCTTAGATCCGATTTTCTGTTGTTGTCTAAATTAACTGCTGTGTTTCTCCAGTATTTTCGCGGGAAGTGATATGGGTGTGTATAATAAAACTCAAATTAAGATGATATTTTCATTATCGAATATACGCTGTTTGCCGTTGTGCCAGTGTAGAATAAATCAAATGACTAGTAAAACCAAAGAACAAAATGACAACTGAAAATCATGAGGTTTGTGGTGGCGGTCCCCATCTCCTAATTTGTCACACACTGTCCCTGAGGCTATGGAAGTTCCTCCTTCTTCACTGACCTAAGATGTATCTCTGTGTTAATGTTGCCTCATTAACCCCAAGCGCTGCGTGACGCGTGGCAGAAGAGGGCATGAGCCAGGTCCCTATGGAGTTCCCCGAAGACTTCAACCACTTGGAGCTACTTGAGACACACCACCATCGCATACCAGTTGGTTCCCACAGCCTGTGGCCTGATGAGGAGGAGGAGGATGAGGAAGAGGAGCGTGAGGGCAGGTGTGGGGAGGAGTGGTACCAGCAGCAGGAGCAGAGCATGGAGGCCAGGCCTGGAGAGCTTTTGCTCTGGGCAGCTGAGAGGAACAGAGTGAGTTCTGCGTGCACCACCTCTCTGCAGTGTGTGTTACTGTGTCTGTATTCAGTTTTATTGCCACATGTTTGGAGGTGAAATTCTGATGCCACAGTTGCGGGGTTACTGGGCAGGTGTAAGAGAGGACAATATATGAACAAGCGGACTATAAATAAGCAATAAATAAGTGATGCAGTGGAGATGAGGGTGTTCGAGTAATCAGAGAGGTAGGAAAGTGGAACATTTTGATTAATCTGAGATTCTCATTATTCATCTGTCTGCTTTCTCTGAGTGTGCATAATGAATAATTTAAGCTATAGAGCTCATTTGCACGAGTTATCACTGCACACATAAAGGGAAAGCTTAGGGTTAGAGTTAAAGAAGGCCAGCGGTGTAGTAACAAAGGCACCGGGATTAGAATATAGTGAATGTGAACATTCAGCCATACACCCTAATCAGCTTGAGGCTAACAGACCACGACTGACCATTAGCAATGAAGAGGCCTTTGATCTTAGGGGGCGGAGTGACCCCATGGCGTTGCTCCCAGCTGAGAAAGGTGTTGATATCCAATCCCCAGGCTTGTTTTCTCAGTTCAGCAATATGAAAACATCCATGGCGACAATTGCTGGCAGCGGTGGGGGTGGTGGTGCGCGGCTCAGCGGATTAAGACTCTGTGCCTGAGCAGAAGATTGCCGGTTCAAATCCTATATTTGGCGGAGTCATTTTACCATTGGACCCCTGAGCAAGACTCTTAGCCCTCAGCGGCTCCATGGATTGTCTGATCCTGCTTTCTAAAAAAATATATTTTGCTTTGGATAAGTCTGTTGAATAAGTGAAATGTAAATGTAATTTCCCTTCTGCTGAACCCATTGACTAGACCCCAACTCAGTGTGACTCATCCACAAGAAACCTGCACAAAGCAGAGAGACACCAAGTTTAAGACAGGATTTATTGTCATTGCGTGGGCTTGATTGAGGATGCACTGAATTATTCATGCTTTTCACATTGTCTCTCATATTGTAAGTTTATAACAAAGAACATCTTTCTGTCCGCCCCAAACAAGTCATTAGCATAACCACACTGTAATTTTGTGCAACAGAAGATTCTCAAAGACTGATTATGGAGGCGTTGCTGCTGCTTTGTGTCTTGTTCGCTTTAAGGCCACGTGTGATGGTCATGAGGCCGGCCTGTGTCTCATTGGTTCATACCATGCACAGTCTCATGGTCTCATTGGTTCATTCCATGCACAGTCTCATTGGTTCATACCATGCACAGTGATTGCCATGAAAGGCCTCTTCTTGGTGGGACACCACCAACACTCACCAAAAGGATGTTGGCTGGATCCAGGCTAGGGGAAAGACCCTGAGAATGAGGACCCTGTTGCCTGAGTCATGGTAAACTGCAGTGGTCACCTCTCTTCTGCCTTGTACCTTTGTCTCGCACCCTAGAGCGTACTTCACTGACAGTTTTGTTTGTTCCAATGAATTAAAAAGAAGAACAAGTTAATTCCCAGTAACACTATTCACACATTGATTACTCCTTCCTTGTGTCACTTCCTGTCACATGACCTCAGCTGGCCACGGTCCAGAGACTCCTTACTGCAGACGCTTCGCTAGTGGAGAGCCGCGACGAGGATGGGTACACGGCCCTGCACCGCGCGGCCTACAGTGGCCACCTGGAGGTGGCACAATGCCTGATGCATCATGGGGCGGAGCTCCATGCCAGGACGGTGGACGGCTGGACCCCGCTGCACAGCGCCTGCCGCTGGAACAACGCCGCTGTGGCGTCCTACCTGATCCAGCAGGGGGCAGAAGTGAACGCGCAGACCAATGGGCTCCTGACACCACTGCACCTAGCGGCGGGCAACAGCGGCGCACGGCAGACTCTGGAGCTGCTGCTGATGCAGAGGCAGATCCAGGCACAGCTGAAGAGCAGCAGCGGTGAGACGGCCCTCGATATCGCCCGCAGGACCAGCGCTCACTACCGCCTCTTTGAGATCGTGGAGCCGTGTAACAATATCCTACCCTAGAGCTTGGGGGCGCCACTGAGGCCCTAGGAAATGGGGGCAAAACATCAAGGCGTGCAAATGTGACCCAGATCTAGTCCTCCATTGTCTCCAGATCAGCAGCAGACTTCACACAGTCACTCCGCTAAAATGCATCCTGTGAACCCAACACCATATCCATCAGAGCGTAGAGTCCCTGCGGTGCGGGACGTGGGCATTGCACTGAGAATGTGACTTTGGCATGCGTGCCCACCTTTGGGCAGCTGGCACTGTGCCCCACATAGTGCATGTGGAACGGGTGGCTCATCCCAGCAGCCTTTGCAGTCGGCCACCAAGTGACACCGGAGCTGTGAAGGTTTCGCCATGTCACATGACCCCATGCTCAGTGTTGTAATATTCACAAATATTAAGCAGTGCAACGTGAATATCGGGTGTAGTGTTAAGGCTGTATGGTGCTCATCTTTTAGAAATCCGGATCTGCAAAATAATCATGTCATGTCCATGATGCTTTCTTAATCTGTAATTGTGGAATGAAATACAATCATGATGTCACTCTTCTATGAAATAGTTAGCATTGGCTTTAAGTGTTCTGGTTATTGCCTTCCGGATGTTACCTAAAACCGAACTGAGAGGGGAGTTACCAAGTGACCATGAATATGTGTCAGATTCACTACAGTGACATTTGGTGAATAAAGTGTTTCCGTGATATAGCTACAAGTGTTGGCCAAACGTAACACTGGATGTTTAACCTCTGCTGTCATGTTTTCACAAGCTTGCACGCGTCCTGTGAGTGTGGTGAGGATTAAAGTTTTCTACGGTGTACGCAGAGCCCGGGGTTCCCTCGTTTTTTCCTGGCGTTTGCCATCATGGTGCCTGCCCTCTCCTAAAAGCTGCTGTTCAGGTCAGGTCAAACCTCACTGTCATTTCAAACTATGCAGGCACACAATGAAACGAAATAGCATTTGTTCAATTTTAAAAGCGACTTTATGTGTAAGATAACATAGACACACAAGGCAATAATGGATAATTTGTTACAGCTGCCCGGTGTTCTGTAGTCAGATAACTTGTCAGATTTAAGCTAGACTGGGGTAGATGGACTTTATCTTTGTTCACTTACATGAAGCCCAGTTGGATTATAAGCCTCCAATCGACAACTTTTACTAGTACGTGAAATTCTTGCACAACATAAACTGGACTGTGATCATTAAAGCGTGGCACCCCCCACCGTAAAGGACTGTGAGTGTTCTGTAGCACGTCACATAACTAAGGCATTTACAAACTTAACTTATTTCATACTGGCTGTTCCTTGTCCAGAGGAACACGGGCCTGTTTACCACCAGCGTCTGTTTACCATCGTCTTGGTTCCTGGGTGAATTAGTACCTTGATTCAATATGTCTTTTTCAGCTGATCAAACTTTGTGATTTTCTTTCCCAGTGTTTTAAGAAAACCTTTAATGAACAATATGATTATATTTTGAGGTCTTTCATAATTATTTTTAAGGAATTCAGCAAGCAAGGGTTACACGTTTACATTCCTTAAGTATGTGCGTCTTTTGTCTACCGAACTTTTGTTATGATAATATTATTAAGTCTCCCTTCGAGCACAGGAGTTATTCGGCTAAACCAGTGTTCTCCAATCTGGTCCTCAGGGACACACGGCAGTCCATGTTTTTGCTCCCTCCCAGGTGCTGCGGCGGAACATTAATGTGGACAGTCTGGCAGGGAGCATGGAGGGAGCAAAAACGTGGACTGGCTGTGGATCCCTTAGGATCGGATTGGGAAACACTGGGCTTTGTGACTCTGAGCAGGGCAGCATTTTCGGCTCAAGTCTGCAGATGCTGGGAATGTTGGTGGGCTGGAGGCTCCAAAGAGAGTCCAGGCTCCCGAAATGAACCACAAGTCGCACATTAAAGGGCCACAGTGTGGCCCAGACCACACTCCGAAGGCGGGAGAGGAATTGCAGATGGGAATCAATGCTGCCTGTGTCCTTCCCAGTTTGCTGCAGGATGGTTGCTATGCAGACTATTAACAAACAGTTAGCAAACCATTGCTCATTTGGTTGAAAGTGTAAAAGGTTCCAAAAAGGGTTCCCTTCATTACAGCCCATTAGAAGAAAATGCTAATGAGCTCCTTCATTGAAGATGTGGGCTCTTACCAATGCGCTTTCCGTCTCTTTCAACAGACTACTTTCTCTTCAACAGTCCGTGGGGTTTCCCTTGAAGAATTTCCACCCTTTGTGATAAAACGGGCAAAGGGTGGGGGGTTAACAAACAAGCTTGAGGCGCAGGATTTAACACTAAATATTAAGGGGAGATGGGGAATTTAACTCAAAAAAAAAAAAAAAAAACAGGAGACGCAGGTCACAGCTTGCAAACAAACTTATGCGGGAAAAGAGGCGACATGACCAGTTTTTACCACAGGCGAATAGACATGAGCAACTTTAGAAGGACTTCATGAATTAATGAAAGCGGCGGCTGTGAGAGTGGCCAAGCCGCTCAGAAAGTTAGCAAACTTGGGCACGACTTTCGGACGACTCATGGGTGGGTAAGGTGTAGCGGGGGATGGCGGAAGGTGGTGAAATCCTGGCCAGGACTTTTTGCTGTGATCACAAAGAGTCCTTTATAGATGTAACCCGAGTCGCCACGTCATGATCCAGACAAACAGGTCGCCTATAGCCTTCGCCCATCGCCTCTGCTGTCACTTACATCTAGCGGCGCCGTGGCGGCGACAAGCGGGATTGATACGGTACCTGCGCACCTGGAGCGCCGCTCCGGCATCGTGCGCGCAACTCGAAGGGGGAAAGCAGCTCTCTCAGTGAGATATCACTTTTTTTTCTCTCAATTTTCTCTCTCTCTCTCTCTTTTTTTTTTAATGAAAACGAGATTTTTAAAAGCATACACAAATTCTACCGGATCTTCTCCGACTGTTAAAAGACACCACCCTCCCGTCGCGTGGTGCTTTGCGAGAATGACTTTGTTAGACTGATCCGGGAAAGTCGCGAGACAAAGTCCGAATGGTTTCCGTCGGTGGACTATATGGAAATTGTCAACATCGGCAACGAAATACTTTGTTCGTATAACATCGGGAAGCGGCTTAACGGGACCTGTAAGCAATGTCGCGTATTGGTAATGAGGAAGAGCTATGCGCAGTTCTTTGTGGCGGCAATCGTCTGTATTTTCTTTATCCTCATTTTGTGCTTCAAGAACCTGCCACCTCCGGTGCCTCACATGCGCCTCCAGACAGCTGGCGGACCACCTGGCGTCACCGTCCTGCTGTGGTGGTACCCCTTCGGGAGCCAGTGCAAGATGCCTGACTGTGCAGCCCTGTATGGGGTCCAGGGGTGCAGAGTGACGACCAACAGGAGCTTTTACTCAGGAGCCGACGCCGTGATCTTTCACCACAGGGACATCCTGGGCAACGTCAGCAGGCTTCCTCAGAATCCCCGACCACCTGCCCAAAAGTGGATTTGGATGAACTTTGAATCGCCGAGTCATACCTCCAACTTGGAGGAGTTCGAGGGGATTTTCAACTGGACAATGTCCTACAAGCTGGGCTCTGACATATTCATGCCGTACGGCTATCTGCAGCACAAGAATACCTCGAAACCGAAGAAGCTGCCGCAGAAGAGGAAGCTGCTGGCTTGGGTCATTAGCAACTGGAATGAGGACCACGCTCGGGTGGCCTTCTACTGGAGACTGAGCAGGTACATAAACATCGACATCTACGGCCGCGATGCCATGAGCCTGGTGAATGACAGCGTGGTGCAAACCGTCTCAAAGTACAAGTTTTACTTAGCCTTTGAGAACTCTCAGCATCCAGACTACATCACTGAGAAGCTGTGGCACAATGCTCTGGGTTCGAGCGCGGTGCCGGTGGTCTTGGGACCGTCCCGCTGGAACTATGAGAAGTTCCTCCCGGGCAACGCCTTCATCCATGTGGACGACTTCAGTAGCCCCAGAATGCTGGCCAAGTACTTGAAGTTCCTCGACAGGAACCCCTCAGCATACAGGCGCTACTTCAGCTGGAAGCGGACGTATCGTGTTCATGTCACGTCCTTCTGGAACGAGCACCTCTGCGCCATCTGCACGGCCGTCAAGGCCTCCAGGTACCAGACCAAAGTCGTTTCTGATCTCGCTTCATGGTTCAATTCATGAGCCTCGCAGACTGGTCTAAACTTTCAGATTTGCCAATATTTTTTTTTTCCCAGAAAACCATTTTTAGAAAAATGATCCCTTGCCATTAAGCTTTAAGTACATTTGCTTATCAGCACAGGAAAGCAAAATGACAGAATCTGATTTAATAAGTTCCTCATTTTCTCCACCCCACAGACTGATGAAATGTGTTTGTCTGTGAGCAAAAAATATGAATGCCCTGTGATTTATTTTGTTTCGGAGAGGTTTAACTTGAAATGTCTGTGAAACGTTGACAGTCACATTGCCCTCAAACAGTCCATCAAATTCATGGTTAAATAATAAAGATGCATATTGACAAGAACGTCTGTGTCCTTGTGCTGTATTTACATGGAAATCAGATTAGTGTGCAGAACTTTCCGGCTCTGTCTCTCCTAGTCGCACTGCCTGTCACAGTCTGCTACTTTGTAAACCTTTGATGTTGACATACTTTTCTCCATGTGGCTGAAGAGTTTGTTCAGTGTCTAAATGCCACACTCAGGAAGTAGGGCAGTCCATGCAGCTCCTGCTGAGTGTCTGAGCTTGGTACACTGTCTGACCTCGAGCAGGAAACCAGATCATACATTGTGGTTGTACTGATGTTTCCGATTCAGAATGGCAGGTTGGGTGGGGGGTGCTCCACAGCTCATTTAATTGTGTTTGCCTTTTCCACTGGGTCTCTGTGCAGAAGCAGCCAATGGGATTCACTTCACTTTAATGAGGCATTTTATTACAGGTCAGTGTCAGGTTTAGACAGGGGGGTGGGGAATTACAACAAGAGACACCATCCTGCACCGTGTCCCAGAGAAGTTGTCTGCCCCCTCCCCAGAAGTGTCCCTTTTTCCCAAAATGCTCTTGTTTATTATTTGTTTTTTTGCGATTATTATTATTTTTATTTTCACTTTTTCCTGTGGTGTCACATTTCCACACCACTGTGTTTTCTGGATGGCATTCCTGGTGTTTGGGGGAAGCAGAGAAATGAAATTACAGAGCATGCAAAAACAGCTCTGATGGAAAAATACAAATATCTGTGTGTGTGTCCCCCCCCTAAATATAGCTATATTCTTCTGGCAAGGTTATAATTAATAAACACTGCAATTAAAATGGTAAAGCATATTTCCTGTCATTCAGGAAAGAGATACAGTACGGTACGTTGAGACAGACAGATTGCAGATGCACATATACTGAACAGACATTTGCTCCTCCATTTAAGGACTGTTCTGTCCTACCATTTTCAACGCTCACTGTAGAAGTAGGTGCAGCTCACATCTGTTAATATTTCACACAAAGTAACAAACTTATCACTATAAGGCTGTTATCAAAAGAAGGTCACGCTCGATAAGAAGATAACCAAAGAACTCTTGGGCGTTCTGGCTCCCAGCTCTGCCAATGCCCACGTCGCTTTGGACAAAAGCATCACTTAAGTAAATGCAAAATGCAATGGACAGTCATTCTGCTCAGTCTCCTGGCGTGTGGTTGTCTGGGTTTCACTGTCCCAGTTCCCTGTGCAGTTTACACTTCTGTAATTGGGCTGTTTCTATCATTGAATCTGCCGTCAGCCACGTTTCACCTGATTTATAACTGAACTGTAACTGCCATCACATGTCAGTGCGTGACTGTGCTTTCACACGCTTCTATGGTTGTGAACAGGGCACAGCTTTCAAAGTCCAAAGTGTGTGGCATTGGGCTATGAAATGTTTATGGAGGGAAACTGTAATGCTGGCTGGTAAGGAGGAGCAGTGCCAGAAGCTGTGCCCCAAACACAGGCTGTTTCTGTGGCCTGTGCTGTGAGATGAAGGCTTTCGGCGTACGTTCTGGGGCACGCACGGGAACTCTTAAAGGGCCAGCGTCGATTACACAGTGGGGGAGGGGGGGTCGTCCCTATGCGGGGGAAAGGCCTGACCACGGCTTGTGGACGCGGAGTGCAGTCACAGTACTCACATAAAAACAGAACTATTTGATGAGTCAAAAGTTAAGTTTGATCCATGTTAAAACAGTCAGATGTATGAGTTTGGTCACAAGAGTATTGATCCAGTCTGCATGCTGCCCAGCTCACCCCTTCCTAACACTGGTTACTCTGTCGCCTGCCATTTCACCTGCCCCACCTCCTCCAACTGGCTGCTCACCAGATGCTATCCCGCTGAGGCAGGGCGCCCCCAGCCCCATGCAGCCCGTGTCGGGTGTCTGGCAGCCGCACGCCATCACCAGCCCCGGTCCAGGCACCTCTGCCATTGTACTCTGAGCTGCGAAGGTCCTGATTGGTTGAAGTCTGGAGCAAAGGCTTTAACGCGCCTGGAGGATTTCATCTTTTATTAAGAGCGGCGGCGGCGTGCGGTTCTGCAGGTTAGGGTGCTGCGTCTGTAATCAGAAGGTTGCTGGCTCAAATCCCAGAGTCAGCTAGATGATTGTGCCATTGGGTCCCTGAGGAAGACCCCTAACCCCCCCCCCCAGTAACTCTGCTTTCTCAGAAAATGTGTCACTTTCAATAAAGACCAGGAAAATAATTCTAATGTAACTTTGTCAGTTTCTCCACTTCATTCTTCTTTAAAAAATCATACAAATCAAACATCCATAACTCTGGCTGCTTCAGTTCACCCAACTCTAAGAAGCAGTATGCACTGTCAACCTAGCATATATACACTCACCTAAAGGATTATTAGGAA